ATGCCACAGTACCATTTCCTAAATCACGCCCCACCAAAAGTCAATTAAGTCATTAAAACAAACCCTGATTCCCCTTAATAATATTAGTGACTTAACAGCGTTGGCAGGACGATGCCAGAAGCGCATCACATCCCCTTGGCATAAACGTCCGTGCGTCTAGGACGGACGATGAGCGAGCAGAGATGCTGCTGGTTAGCCAGGTACTTCAGTAGACATTTATTTGTGGCTTGGGTCAGCAGCCGGCTCAGAGACTACTACTCTTAACTCCCCAGGGCTGTGCCAACCACTGAGGATGCTCCCAGCTGAGCACCAAAATGATATTTGGTATTCTACTCCGAGCACTTTACAGCCACGTTGCTGTGAAACCCTCAGCACACCTAGAAAGCATCTCCTCGGACATAAGATCTTCCACCTGCAATATGGTAGCGAGGATGTTAAAGCGAGAGCGGAGGAGGCTGATGGGGAACATCGTTGCCTTCCCACTCTGCTCCGTAATCTGATTTGGAGCGACGTGAATCATTCGGCACCAGGACACGACAAAGAATCAACATGCCTCGCTGTTAAATATACAGTTTGTAGGAGCATGAGTCACAGCTCAGGTTTCAAGGTGCGATGCTGTATGTAAATCCTTTCTGAGAACTACCCAAGAACACTGCGCACGTAGCTATGATTTAAGCCCGGGGTCAAACCTGGCCTTCCAGTCCCACAGCCTGCGGTGACCCTGCCAAAACTACTTCCCCTGGTTTTAATGTCTGCAAACTCAAGCAGGCTGAGCTGCCCCGAGCCCTGGGGTGGCAGGGGGAGGTTTAGGGACCAAGGAAGCCTGTAGCCCCCGCGGCAGGGAGGGCACAGCCCGCCGGGTCCCTCCACGGCACCGGAGGGGGCTTCACCTGCACCCAGAGGAACGAACAAACCCTCCTCAGCTTTATCCCAATCTGTTCCAAGGGAGGCAGAGAAATACAGATTACATCCCTTGCCTACCCAGATACATTAAAGACAAGGCTGGGTTCTCTTTTGTAGTAATTAAAGCCTAGTGATTATCCCACACGTCAAATACCAAGTCTAGACACAGACTTTTCACTGCGATTCATACCAAATCCACCCATACTCCATTTCATGTGGATACGTTGCGCCTTACTTCACGCATCCACGAGGCAGCCAGCTGTTAGCAACCCCAGTAAAAATCTCGTTTCGATTCAGCATCGATGCCTGTGATCGCATGGCAGCAGCGGGCTGGAGAGGAGCCGGAGGACGAGGGGAGCAGAGGAAAGCTGCGGAGGGAGAGAGGGGGCTCCCAGACCCGTCCAGATGGTACCGTGCTTCCTCACTCCCTACAAACAACTTGCAAGTGATGGGAAACCAAGGGATTTGGGATGCTGGGGAAGAACAGAAGCACCCCAAACACACTGCTGACTGGGGGGAAAAAAGCAGAATAAGAATTTTTTCTCCCAACAGAGGGAATGAGGGATAGGTCTATTGCATTTCATCCATCTCCCTTTCTATAGGTCTAAAAGAAATCTTCTCACTTGCTTAGTGCGGCTACAAAGACCCCACCACACAGTCGCTTCTGCTCCCAGCCTCTCACGCAGCCACGTTAAATACGCGTTTACATCTCTAACAGCAAAGACCTCAGATATGCAGGGCCCTGGAGAACTGCACGTTTACATGTTCTCCAGCCATCTCCATACCAGCTCCCCTGCTCCTCACCACCATCCCCAGGCAGTAAAGACAACTGCAAAACAAGGCAGCAGTGTGCTTTGGGATTTTTTTTTTTTCTTTTCACAGCTTTAGCGATTCTAAAACATGTAAATATGAAGGAAAGGTCAATGATTCAACAGTGATTAAGTCTGAAATATTCCACTTAGTACCCATTAGATGTGGAAAATACCCGTTATGTTCCCAGAGCGTTCCCCAGAGCACAGCCAAGCAGTACCCAGAGCTGGGGAAAGCTGCTTTCTTGGAAGGCTTGAGGTATCTTGTGAAAACACAGACTTCATTTCAGTAAGCAGAAGAAAAAAAAAATAGCAAGAGACAGTAAAAGAATTAACGTGTTGTAGATTCTTAATACCATTTCCCCAGAGAGAGGAAAAACAACGAAGTCTAATGAAAATTTTCTATTCTCAAAACCATTTGCACTGTTATTGTTTGCAGCTAAAAGAAGATGAAAACATAAAACCCCAACAGCTTAAGTTACTGAAAATTGCAGGGCTGCCTACTTTTTTTTCTTGAAGAATAAAATTAAACTGCATCTGGGATGTAAAGTTTCCACCTTACAAAAATACCGAAAACCTTGGAACAGCCTTACAGCCTGCAGGGCTAGAGCAGTCTTCAAGCTTGCACTTGCCTCAGGAGCCAAAACACATCCAGGACCCAAAGCCCATTGAGTCTAGCACAAAACTTCCTTCCATCCCTTTGGAAGAACCCAAGCCGGTATTTCAAGTCCTGAAAAATCCCATGGATTTGAAACGCTTTATGAAACATGCAATTAAGCAATGCAGTTAAATAACAGAGCCTGATTTAACAGGCTAGCCCTACTCTTTGCAGAAAGAAGGATCATTTCTTCATCTCAATCTGCTCCCAATTGTACTCAAGATATTGTAAACAGCTGTTTCAGTTTCTCTCCAACCAAGAAAAAGCAGAGGAGCAATAAGATTAATTCGCTAAATTACACTTTCTTTGTCTACTGAAAAGCTGCTGTTAAGTAGAGGAATAGAAAATTGTGTTGCCTCAGAGGACATATCCCCAACCAGCTGGGTGTAAGCGTGGCCACCACCCATCCCATCTACACACCCTGGACCTGGGGAAGCCTGATGAGGTTCCACCACCTTGACTAAAAGGTTCCTTCTTTAAAATCTATTTAAGGAGGAAATAGCTGCCAATAAGACATTTTATTCCACACTTTGGCAGCTACAATTCTATTACCCTCCAAAATAAGGAGTGACAGCAAGACTGCCAGTCCTAGTCTATAATTAGGGAGGGCCACCGAGGGTCAGCATCACAGGGCACCTTCAACGTGGCATAACTTGGCAAGGGCAGGGCTAGTGCTCGCTGCGCCCACGCTGAAAATAAACTTATCTCAAGCTAAACCGATGACTTCATTTCCCTGGTGAATGAGATACCTAATTATCAATAATTCATAGGCACAGACAGACGTGCAAGTGGTTTTGAGAACTGAAGTAGAAACAGGAGTAATGATTCTTGGAATAAGAGTCAGCAGAGAGACAGATCCAGACAGGGAAGAGAAGGTGCACTTTGCATGCACATGTCAAAACCAATCTAATTTCAATCACATACGTGACAGTCTAGGTGCCAGTTTAACAGGGGTATTTTCCCCGTACACTCTGCAGTTGGTATATGACAGGATGCTTGCCTGGCTGGAGCCCAGCTCTACCTATCCGGATGGACAACTCGCTCTCGTAGTCCAGGTGATGGGCAGGTTCATGCTCATATTTTTCTTTCACTGCTCGTTGGTCGCAGCTCAAGGCAAACGCTGCGTGGGGAGGCCCGCTGAAACCCTGCAAGGCAAGAGAGAAATTTAAGGTTTTTCCCACATCTCCCCATCAGCCTTCTTCCAGCCCCATCCTCGGGGAATGCTCTGGCATCCGTGTGGTTAGGAAGCCGATCGGGGCATGTGCCACAGCAGCTTCTCACAGCTGCATGGAGACATGTCTTTTGGGTGAAGAGGTGCAATTCCGTAAATGCAACTCCCTCCATAGTCAACCTGGAGGAGACCAGCAGACAAGGAGGGACATTCACTGCTGTCAGCACTGCCGAACCGCTCACAGAGGGTCGCGCGCTCTGCAGACATTTAGTTTGCAGTAGGGTGCCATTTCTTCAACATGGATTGAGCTTGCAAGGGAAACCGTTTGTTCAAAATTGAACCCATTTGAGCATCAAATGAGACATGATGTTCACAACCACCCAGTGTTAGTTCACTGGGACTCATCCAGATGGCCCGATGAAACTTCAAACTCACTTGGAATATATTCCTACACCATTTGTAACCTCCAGAAAGCAGAGAGGGATGGCCAAAATCAATACCGTCCAGCTATGCGTAAAGTCTGCAGGGAATCAGAGCAGACGCCCTGCGGCAAGAGGGACTGCGCTGCTCCCATGAGTGATTCCTGCCAACCTGGACATGGCTTGCAAAAACCAGACGCGACTCAAGGATGAGCCAGAGTCTTTATCTGCATTGGCCAAAAGAAAAATTGGCAGACACCGTTTCTGCCTTTCCCCCACAGTGCTGGACATGCAGCA